ACCCGGCGCCTTCCACTCAGGGTGGGCCCGTGGGGACCTTGACCCGACTGTGGCAGAGAGGGACTCCGCATTTCTCCCACCTCTTGCCTTTTCTTTTGGGCGCAGGTGGGTGTGTGCAGGTGTGTCCTTCAATGCCTCTCCCCTGACCTCTCAAGGGGTGCTGGTGTCCCCATGGCCGGGGCCAGCTCCTGCCTGGAGGTACATTTGGGAGGCCGGAAAAAACACCTGAAAAAAGCTGCGACCCTGCCAGAGACACGCGACCCGGTGGCGCCCGCAGCTGTGGGCACCTGTGCGCATGGCTGTCAGGCTGGCAAAGCCACCTCCACCCCTCCTGATGGCCACCGAGAATTACTCTACAGGAGGCAGGGAACGGAGGGGTTTTTTCTCCTAAGCTAGAAAGAAGCCCACGGACTTTGGCTGGCTGCTGCCTCCCTGGGTCCCGGGGTCACCAGGCCCAGGAGACGGGCGGTGGGCAGGGGATGATGGGGCCGGGAGACGGGACAGGGACAGCTGGGGACACAGCGGAGGCCCAAGTGGCCGACACGCCAGCCCACCTTCCCGCTTGCCTCAGTTTACCTGGAGTGCCATACCCCAGGTCCTGGCATCTGGGTGGGCCCCCTCTGCGGGGCAGGGGGACGTGGGTTTCTGGCCTCCAGGACCATGCGTCCCTTGAGGCCCTGGCCAACTCCACGGTCTGTCCTGGCCGCCGGGGCCGCGTCAGTCTCTCCGACCCCCGCTGGCTTCTCTGGGGTCGCATTGCGGGGTCACCTGGGCGGGGCTGGGCTCGGCACGGCTGTGTCCCCCTGCTCCCTACGCCCCAGCGGGGAGGCCCCGGGGTTAAGGCTTCTTTGAGGGAGAAGTGGGGGTGCCTGGTTTCCAGCTCCCGAGATGCTGGCTGGGCAGGGGGGAGGCGGGGGCGTCTCGGTCTGGTCTCGGCCTCCCTGTGTTCTGGGACGGGCTCTCACCCCTTTGCTCCTGCTGGGGGGCAGAGAGACCCCAGGCTCTGCCAGCCCCGCCCCGCCAAGGGAGGCGCGGTTTCGGGGAGGCCCTGCAGGCATGGCGGCCGGCCACCCAGGGTCCCCGGCCCTCCCGGACCGGCCGTAGAGAGCTGGGTGCCAGGGAGCAGCCGAGGGGGGGACAGAGGACACCCCTGGGTCCCGTCCCCCCAAAGCCTTCCAGGAGGCAGGGAGGCCACCCGGCTCTGGCCTCGATGGCCTGCAGGGAGGACGCAGTGGCTGCCGGGAAGCCCCAGGCAACAGCTCTGGAGCTTGGTTTCTTTGCACAGTCCATGTCCGGGCCAGCCCGTGGCACGTGGCCGTGGCAGCGTGGACTCTGAGGTCAGGGCCGGGAGGGGTCCCCGCCGCTCAGGGTCCGCCCCAGGCGGGCGGGCGTCCCTGCAGCCGCTGCCTCTGCCACTGTCCGAGCCGTCCAAGAGAGCACAGTCACCCTAGCGGCCTCCCACAGCCCCGGGCCTCTCCCACGGCCGCAGGGGAAGGAGGGCGCGTGGACACACGGCGGGTCTCCTGGTCTCACACCAGGGCAGAAAAGCACAAAGAGGCAGAGCTGGCGTCGTGGGGGCGGCCAGGGCGGACGTCGCCATGTCTGCGACACAGGGTCCCTGTCCCGGAGTCCTTCACAGTCACTGGGGGGACTCGAAGAACTCTGTACGCGTGGGGCGGGCTCGGGGCGGCCCGGCCCACAGGCAGGGGCTCAGGCAGCTCCTGGGGGAGACAGATGGCTTGGGGACACGAGGGACCGCGGGAGCGCCGAGGACGATGGAAGCCCCCGGCCGGCACCCCACGTCTCACGTTCAGACGACACCTGACCGGCCGGGCCGCGACGGGGTTCCCGGCAGCCCCTCCACACTGGCTCCTGCACCGACAGGGTCCCTTGGAGGGGGCCCATGCGTGGCTGGCACGTGACAAATGCCACACACAGGGGGTGACGCTCGGCCCCACGGGGTGCATCCCGGAGACGAAGCCCTCTCCGGCCCGGCAATGCGTCCGCGCCTCGCATGGTGCCACCGAGCCGTGGACGCAGCTTTAAGCTCTCATCTCGGCAGCGCGGAGGAACGAGTTTTTAAACGGAGAGATTTTTCCAGAAACGTTCATGGTGCCCCCCCCGCACCCCCGATTTTACCACTACTTAAGACAAAAACAAAACCAAAAAAGGCTGGGCGCCATGGCTCACGCTTGTTACCCCAGCACTTTGGGAGGCCAAGGCGGGAGGATCACTTGAGCCCAGGGGTTCAAGACCGGCCTGGGCGACGTGGCGAGACCTCGCCTCTCCAATAGACCAAAAAAATCAGCCAGGTGTGGTGGCGCATGCCTGTAGTCCCAGCCGCTCAGGAGGCTGAGGTGGAAGGATCACCTGAGCCCAGGAGGTCGAGGCTGTGGTGAGCCATGATCGGCCGTGCACTCCAGCCTGGGCGACAGGGTGAGACTCCAACTCAAAAAATTAAAAGTAAAAAGACCTCTCTACAGCCGGTGAAGGCTTTCCATAAATGGCCGACGGCGGGGGGCTGATGGCCACCGGGCCTTGTCTCCCGAGACCCCCAGAGTCAGCCGCCTGTTTCCCTCCACGCCAAGCCTGTAAATCCAATGGCAACTGAGAGTTTGAGAAAACTGTTACCATGTCGCCAGGACATTTCAGTTATGCTTGAGGGGACAGGACTGCAGAGACAGCCCCTGTCCCGATGTGGCTGGGCCCGGGACAGGGCTGAGGTGCCGGGTCTGAGAATCCACCCAGACCCAGAGGGTGCATTTCACCCCATCCGAGGACAGGCTGTGTTTGGGCCTTTCTTTTGAGATTAAAAGTTCGGGGGAGGCTGGGCCCAGGGGTTCACGCCTGTCATCCCAGCACCTGGGGAGGCCGAGGCAGGAGGATCGCTTGAGGCCGGGAGTTCGAGACCCGCCTGGGCCACGTAGCGAGACCCCGTCTCTCCAAAAAAATCAAAACATGAGCCGGGCGTGGTGGCGCCTGGAGTCCCGGCTACTCGGGAGGCTGAGGCGGGAGGATCGCCTGAGCCCTGGAGGCCGAGTCTCCGGTGAGCTGTGATCATGCCCCTGCCCTCCAGCCTGGGTGACAGAGTGAGACCCCGACCAAAGAAAGAAGAAGAAATAAAAGCGTGGGGACTTGAGGTGTTTTGCTTGCACTAAGTTCAGAGGGATGGCCTCCTGAGAAAGAGAGAGAGAGAGAGCGAGAGAGACAGAGAGAGACAGAGAGACAGAGAGACAGAGACATACTCCCCGGAACCCGGCTAAAGAATGATGCAAGGCTTCTTGTCCTTGAAGGGGTTCTCGGAGGCCGGGACGCCGACCAGCAGGGGGTCGCTGCGGGCGTGCTGCTCACAGTAGCTCATGAGTTCGGACGAGGCTTTGGAGACCTGTGTCGGCACAAGAA